TTATTGCTTTGTTCAATTTCTTGTTCAATCTCAAGGTTTGTTAAGTGTTTCAGGATGGATCAGTATAAGCCTCCTCCCCAGTTAACAGGTGATAACTACGCCTATTGGAAAGTCCACACGAGAACTCATCTTAAAGCACAGGGAGAACTCGTTTGGCGCTTTGTTTTAACATGATGGACACGTCTCACCAAGGTCGGAGCTACTCTAGAGGATCCCCCAGTTACAAAACCTGAAACAGAATGGACTCAAACTGAAATAACCAATGTTGGATATAATGATAAAGCTCTTGACATTATTTACTCATTAATGCATGAAAGCCAATTTTCTTTGGTTACAGGTATTGATTCAGCGAAAGTTGCATGGGAGATACTTGAAACAACCTATGAAGGTACAAGTTCAGTTAAGCAATCGAAATTGCAACTAGTCCAATCCGAATTCGAGGAACTTCGGATGAATGAGGATGATACCATTATAAGATTTCATGGTCGAGTCCAAGAACTTTCCAATTGTGCAACCATGCTTGGAGAACCCCTCTCCCAACCAAAGCTGGTCAAGAAGATCCTAAGGTCTCTACCACCGCGATTCAAGATGAAGATAACTGCTATCCAAGAACATGATGGTTGGGAAAATAAATCAGTGGGTCAATTAATGGGAAATCTACAAACTTATGAAATGGAAATCCTAGCTAATCACACGAAAAAGCAAAAAAATTGTGGCCTTTACCGCTGAAGAACAAGGCGCTGCATCTGATGTAGAAGAACCAAGTGATGATCCAGTTGTGTTTTTAACTAATAAATTTTCTCATATTTTGAAACAGGTTTCTCAAAAGAATTCACGCAATAACAAGTTTCAAAAAGGATCAAACTTAAACACTTCGAAGAATGGTCCAAAATCTGGCTCATCAAACTACAAGCGGCTGCCTCATGTCCAGCTTAATCAAAAGATAAATCTAGCACAAAGGTATTCGTTGCTACGAGTGTGAAGGTTGTAGCCATGTCCAAGCCGAGTGTCCCACTTACCTAAGGTGAAAGAAGTCCATAACTGTTGTAACCTGGAGTGATGATGAACCTGAATCAGAAGCAGTTGAATCTGATGAAGAGGAAATATCTGATAACTTTGTTGCATTCATTGCCAGAACAGTAATCCGTCCAGAATCTGAAGATGGAGCTAATTCAGAAGGAGGCGAATACACCTCAGTTGAAGACTTTGATTTACATGCTTTATCTGATGATGTAGAATATAAAAAGTTGTACTCCAAATGGGAGGCTTTACTTAAATCTAATCATTCCTTGTCTAGTGTAGTAGGAATTCTAGATAATGCTAGAAATGTGTACAAGAATCAAGCAGTTGATAAAGATCTATCTCTTAAAATTGCTCTTGATCGAGAAGAGAAGCTGAAGCTGGAGGTAAAGGCTCTGAAGAAGGAACTGAACACCCTCAAAAAGAAAATCAAAATGATGGACACTACTTCGCCTCTTGATGAGATTCTCGATTCAGGAAGACAATTATCTACAAAGTTCGGCCTAGGCTTCACCGGTGGAAACAACAAAGACAAAACCATCTTTGTCAAAGCGTATGGACCAGATCCAGAAGATGTCCTTGAATCAAGCTCAGCTCGACAAAGTCACGGTAATGTATGGCAAAACAATCTTATTTACAAACCTTATAACCCCATTTGTCATTATTGCAGGGTTCGCGGCCATACAAGACCTGAATGCTTATATTTTTACAAAGACCAAAGGGCTGAAAAATACAAGCATAAGTATATTACACCATTTTCTAAGCAAGTGTGGGTTAGGAAAACAGATGTTGTCTCTCAGTTAATTCCAAAAGCATCTCAAGGAAGACAAAATGATATTCAGGAACTAGTAGATGATAATTGGAAATTTTGCTAATTAAGAATTTCAAATAAGAATAACAGGTAAGTCAATTTACTAATTATTTTAATTGTTTTATCTAATATTGTTTGCTAATGTTTAGGAACATGTTCATTATAATTTGAATTATTCTAAGGCAGGTTAATCCATTAGGAATTCAAATCCTTTTTTTCTCTCTCTCTTTACCTGTCATCTTCTTCGCGAAAATCCTTCCGAAATGGGAAAGGAAATTTTTTTGTTCCAAGTGCAACTGTATCTGCTCCAGGAAAGAGAAAATTTGATGACACTAATGATGTTATACTGGTTTCTGAACCAAAACAACAAAAAGGGTGTGGCCACTCCACCTACAAGGCTGACTAGATCTAAAGTTGTTTCAACACCTCCTGTCTCAACTCCAGTTGCTGCTCCAGAGAGCTTCAAAACTAAAAAGGGGCATTTGTTTAATTGTTATCATGTTCTGGGTCTCTCGTTTCTATTTTACTTGTACAGGTTCTTTTGGAAAAATATTCCAGAAAAGGAAAAGGAAATTATTATGGATTTGATGTCTCTATTTTAGTTTCAAACAAAAGATGAAACAGTCACGAAAATTGAAATAAATTATTCTACTATTTTGAGTCCTACCTCTAGTGCTACTATAGGCTCTATCAAAAAGGGGAATAATTAGTGAGTGGAGCATCGTTGAGTTTAATCTCATTATGGATTTCTTTATTTGGATGTTGGATTTTTTATTATCTATATTTTGGACTATCTTTATGTTGGATTATCTTTATTGGATATTGAATTATCATATTATAGTTATTAGTTGCAGACCCGACCCTGTGCAAGTGCAAGCTGGGTCCTTGCCCAGGGCCCCCGCTTGGAAGGAGCCCACCACCCTAACTCATTACCTGATATACTAGAGAAGTGTGTATAATTATTTACTATACATTCATAGTAATTAATTGTAAGTTGATTGAGTTGGTAAAGCTTGTGTTTAATATACATATAGTTAAGGGATTGAATCCCTCCTTCATGTGTATTTTTTTCCATAACTATATATATATATATATATATATATATATATATATATATATATATATATATATATATATATATATATATATATATATATGTTTTCTTTAATACATTGTATACATTTATGTTTTTGAAATTTAAGTTGGTTGAGTTGGTTTGACTTGTAATTTTTTTTTGTTTTTACCTTTTTATAATTATAGTAAATTTATAGAGAAAAGGGTCAAATAAACACTTAAACTTTACTTTAAAATGACAAGTAGGTTCCTAAATTTTAAAAAATAGCAATTAAACATTCGAACTTGTTATTTCTGGACATCTAAACCCAGTAGCCGGTTATTTACTTGAAATAATAGGTCATTTAAAATTCCGACGAGAAAATAAAATTTTCAGCGACAAATTTTTTTTTTTAAAACCTTCCATCGAAGAAGACGACCGGCTGGTCGGCTTCTCCGCCGACCAGCACCTCTGGTCGTCTTCTCCATTGGAGAGGACGACCTCTGGTCGCCTTCTCCATTGGAGAGGAAGACCAGTCCGTCATCTTCTCCATTGGAGAAGACGACTAGTCCGATCGTCTTCTCCTGGAGAAGATGACCGGACAGTCTTCTCCAATAGAGAAGACAACTGGAGAAGATGACCGGACAGTCTTCTCCAATGGGGAAGACAACTGGAAATTGTTCCGGCGAATTTTTATTTTATTTATTTTTTATTTTTTATTTGGTTTTTAGCGGCAGTCAACAATGATTTTCGGCGGTCAACGACAATAATTTACCAGTAACCTGTTGGTTACCGGTAAATCGAGTTTATTTGACTTAAAATGACAAGTTCGTGTGTTTAATTGCGCTTTTTTTTTTAAAGTTTAGGAACCTAATTGTCCTTTTTGAGTAAAGTTCAAGGGTGTATTTGACCATTTTCTCTAAATTTGTAATACAGATTGATTTGTATTTCATATCAAATTTAAATTTTATTTCTATTCAAGTAATTTACTACTTATATTTAGAATATGCATCATTTCGTGAACTTTAAAACGAGTTATATATATGTAATATACTTTGTGATTTAGTTATAAAAAAATATTTTAAATAATTTAGTTTTTTTTTAATAAATTAACTAGTCAATATAGTTTAGAAGTTCTATTGTGCATATTTAAATTAATTTAAGAAAATTTGAAATTAATCTAACTAAAAAAATATTTATAAATATGATATCAATATAGAAGATGTGTGATTTATTATGTGTTTTTTAATCGAACTATTTTATCCAATTAATTATGTTTCATATTTTATTATGAATATCTTTTGTCAGATTGTTTTGATTTATTACTTCCAATAATTAAGATTTTATGTTATGTTCTTATTTGTAAGTTTTGTTTTATAAATTTTTATTAATAATTACTTTATTATTTATTATAAAATAGTGTCATTGTTTATAAGTTCATTTGGTTCTAAATTATTTATTCCTTTTTATAAATTATAATTCTTTATTTAGGAAAGTACAGATGCAACTATTAATTATTTTGGATTTAGAATACATCTATAATTATTTTTATGTGTATGTAAAATTATTACAAACTTGAGAATCTTATTTCAAATTATTTGACATTAGTATTTTTTCTATATTTAGTTTAAATTTTAATTATAAAAATATATATTAATTTATATAGAGCCTTGCTATGCTGTGACCTAGGCCTATAAAATGATAGAACCAAGAATGTACATAGGGACTTTTTTTTAAATTTCACCCGAACCTATAAAATGTTTGGACCGACCCTGATTAGCTGTAATCTTGGATTGAATGATTTTCGATGGCTGGTTATCTTTTATGATCGTTGAATGATTGGGTTGGTTATGGTTGCACAGGAAAATCCTGCCTCTGAGTTAGATGATTCTACTGATTTTGATGCAGTTGCTGATAGTGATGATGCTGCTTGCTTCTGTTGACTCTTCCCAGAGTTAGCCCGATAATTTTCACCATTGATGTTCACAGCCTTTGTCAACTAGAAAACCTCATTTAAGAAGACTTTATAATAAAAGATTAAAAGAGCTTACAGACAACAGAGTTTCCATAACGGAAGATTAATGAGAAAATGAACAATAGAGATTTCCATTACTTGTCCACTGATTACAAGTGAATCATGCAGTTTTGACCGACTGAGTTTTGCTTAATCTGTTGCCTTAATCCAGTTAACGAAACTACTGAAATTCCGATTCGAAGACCCTCCACTTTTAACACAAGACAACACCTCTCCTTGAAGATCCACTACTCTGGTTTTAAAGGTTTCATCCCCAAAAAATTGTTCCACCTTGTTCTTTATTTCCTGTCGTCCGATGACAGCATATATTAATTATGCTCTGCTTTCTCAGTATTTCTCCTGGTCACAACAAATAAAATGTATATTTAATTTGTGTTAGAACGAAATGATTAGTTCACTAAGAAAAGAAAGTTAATATTTGTGTGTTACCATTCTTGCCAACAATCCCATCATCAACTAGCTTTGGAACATTTAAGATCATGGTTAGTGAAGCAGCTGCAGCAGGCCAGAAAGCAACTCGCTGGAGTCCCAATTTCTTCGCCAATTCAATGGCCCAACCCAAATGTTCATCGGCAATAAGACACGAAACTCTGTTCTCATCAGACTCATTTATGTTATGAATGAGAGCCTCCAGCTTCCCTGGAACAACCTCATAGAATGCTTCTGTTAGCTTCTTCAGGTCATTCCTGTCCTCCTCCACTGCCAACCCGTCAGAGACCGATACGAGGTTTATAACATTGTCTGCCTCCGACATGGATTGGATGATTCGGTTGTGGTTGAACTCAGAGTTGACGAAGGTGACCTTGCAGCCATGCTTGACTAAGCACTGGCAAAGCTCCATTAAAGGGATAACATGGCCTTGTGCTGGATATGGTATGGCTATGATATGTGGCCTTCTCATCATTAATTGCCTTTGATGCTCTAATAACTTGCTTCCTCAATTCTTGCCTCCAACCGTCATGAATTATAGTAAATGATCTCTGGATACTATGAATGCCGCCATTGTTGTGTGTTTTGTGTTTCAAAGATCTCCCAAATCTTTTTAAATTCTTAAAATATATGGGGCTATGTTTGGCATATTGGAATACAGTAGTGGCATGTTGTATCTTTTTCCTGTGTTTTACGTGTGATGATGAGGATTGTCCACGTTCTAGGTTTGGAAGAGTCTAGGATTCACTTTCACTTTCACTTCCTCGCAGCCGGTACAGTTCTTCAATTCTAGTCGGCCAAAAAGAAAATACTACATTAACTCTTATTTTTGTAACATTGTTAAGGAAGTTGTTTTGATGTGACGATTGTTAAGGAAGTTGTTTTGATGTGACGGTAAAGAATTACTGTTAAAAATTATAGAATTTTCGATCACTTGAAAGTAATCTTAATCAAGTCAAAAGAAAAAAGTGGTCGGAAATAGTAACAAAAGTTTTTTCGAATATCAAAAGTGGTCGAAAATAACAACAAAGATTTTTCCAGATATCAAAAGTAATTGGAACAAAACTTTCGACTTGATTTAAGATCACTTTCAAGTAGTCAAAAATTTCATAATTTCTAGCCGTGAATATTTGATCATTTCATTTATCCTTATTGTAAACGTTTCAGCCTATAATTAATGATTAAAAGATTTTATTGAGTTTGCATAAGTTTATTAAGAGGAAGTGTCTCAATTCCTTGTATCATAGCCGATTAGGCTATGGACTATGCATTAATCCATTTAATAAAATTCATCAAGTTATTGTGTGAGCTACCTCCTTCTGCAATATTAGCCCTTGTGACTTCCTTGAGATGTAAAGCTCTCTCTTTAAACGAGTTATCTCCAAGCAACTGATCCACCTTGTTCTTGATCTCTTCAGACTTTATGATCCCACTTCCATTATTATCTCTCTTCAACGCCAACCCAATCTTCCATACATCACAAATGTAGCTCTGATTGATAAACTGGTCAGCAAAGTAAGGCCAACATAGGATCGGCACGCCATTGATAGCTGATTCTATGGTTGAGTTCCAACCACAATGGCTCAAGAAACAGCCCAGAGATGGATGGCTCAGAACCTCCTGCTGTGGTGTCCAATTCACCATCATTCCCCGCTCTGATATGTTGGGTTTCCTGTTTGCATCGTCGGATTTAACGACCCACAAGAAAGGCCTGTTTGTTAGCTCAAGCCCCTTGGCTAGCTCTTCAAACTGGGCTTCACTGAAAGCTGTGGAGCTTCCGAAGGCTGCGTAAATGGTTGAGCATGGCGGGTGTTGATCAAGGAATTTCAGGCAATTTGGCTCCGCTGGCCAGAAAGATCCAGCTGAAGAAGTTGGGGTTTTGAGGGTTTTGGTGGCTAAAAGAGGGCCGATGGGGAGAATCTCTGGGGCCAAGGAAAACGCCCCTGGTTCAAGATCATATGCTGAGTTGCAGATTAGCCAGTCTGCTGATTTTACAGACTTGTTATTGCCTAACATCATCTGAAAAACGACCCTCTGCAAAGTCAAATTTCCCATACGAACCCAAACAAAGTCTGAGGTGTTCATGAATGGCATTGTTGGCGCAAACTGAAATGTCTTGTTCTCTGCTGGAATACCTGAAGTTAATAACCAACAACATGCCTTCAGTTAGTACTATGATTACTATATGATTACCTTAAGTTCTTTCTTTTTTTGTCTTTGGGTGACTAGGAAACCTGGTGCCACTACCAAGAGTATGCATGGGATAAACTAGTTTTGTGACCTTAGTAGGAAAATGATCATAAAGGTAAGAGGTAAACCAGTCTAGGTTGCCTATAGTTGACCCGCTCAAACAAAGATGATGGGGATTCAAACTTGTGACCTCGTGGTTATAAGTTTGTATCCTTAATCATTTGGCTGGGGTTACCCCTTATTGGGAATATCCCCGATTATACTTATAGAGTATACCTGGTCGGTACCGGGCTCACCCACAAAGCAGGGCCGGATCTGATCATCACCGAACTTATTGCGCGCTTGTCCGACTTAAATCTCTGACCAAGTGCAACTTCACTGGTCAGGCGAAGATCAGTATCAATTGCTCTGTCCCGACCGCATTAAGTCGGGACTGAGCACTTGACGTGAAGTACTTAGAACCTTAAGCCTATATAATTATCTTAATTCTTTTAGTAGATCGAGTACTATTTTGTTGTTTTTTGAGATCGACATTCTAACCTACAAGTAGTATCTACTCATCTGCAATACCAACCCTGATTGGAATGGAATTAGAACCTGAAACCTTCCTTATGGAAGATAACAGTGATGTCACCAGACCACAGGATAGGTACTTGGCGATCGAGTAGTTGCCACTTGCTAGTTGCTACCACCTTCATTGTTGATTATCCCATCATCAATTAGCTTGGGGATGTTAAATCCCAACACCAAATTTGCTGCTGCTGCAGGCAAGAACGCGGCGGTTTGGACTCCCAGCTTCTTTGCCAACTCCAGAGCCCATCCAAGGCTCTGATCAGCAATGACACAAGTGATATGAGATTCTGATGATGATGCATTGATACCCCGTATGAGTTTCTCCACTTTCCCTGGCATGATTTTGGAGATGGCTTCAAACAGCTTCCCGGGCACGTTGCTACTCTCGTTTGATTCTGAGGCATCCAAGACAGAAACCAAATGAATCCCATCATCTAATGCCACATTGTTTAGTGCTGATGAGTTTAGTATCTGGCTGTGAGTTGTTTGAGTGAGCACGAAGGTGATGTTGATGCCGCCATGCCTAGCTAAGCACTGAGCTAGCTCCATTAAAGGAATTACATGGCCTTGAGCCGGATAAGGAATGACTAGGATATGTGGGTTTCCCATTCTTGATTGTTTGAATGTTTTGCTGCCAATACAGATCAGAGAACATTTTATGTTGCCATCCTATTGTCTGCTAGCTTTGATCAGTTTGATGTTTTATGCCGAGTTGAAGCTGGGAATCTTTTTCCAATCTTGTCATTTTGCTAGGTTGAGCTAGTTAATGAATTGAAATGAATGTACGAAAAATAATAGATTGGGATATGGCCTAGCTGGACTGAAAATGATAGGCGATTCTTGATGATTTCACTGTTTTTGGCTCTTAATCAATTGCCAGCAAATGTGGTTTTCAAGATTATATCATCGGATCGGAATCAACAAATCTTTCAATCAGTATATTCCACGAATTACACTATTACAGTACCGGCATACTATCTAATCTTTAGAATTGCAATTCCCTCCTTTTATGAAATTAGAATCTATACCCTCTCACATATGAATTTCAATAATAAAAGGAGAAAAAAACATCTTTACCCTTGATTATTATTATTACATAATGACATTTTAGTCTTTATATTACTTATTTCCTTCTCATTAACAATAATTATATTCCTTCATATCAAATAATATAATTTGAATTCTTTTTTCCTTTAATTTTCCCTTCCAACCAAACGTTGTGTTAGTGAATGCTGATCAAGCCATATTAGGCAATAGGAGTCTGACCACAAAAACCTAGTCTGATTACGTTTTCACTACTGTATTTAGGATCAAATTAATACCAAAACCAACTTGTTCCTAACACATCTAACTTGGAAATTTGTATAGCATAGAGGTGAATTGTGAATTTAGGAACCACAAGTTTCCTAGTTAGATATATCATAGACGCTTATAGGACAATTTCATTTGATAATAATATAAATGCAATATGTGAGATAGTTTCATTTTAGATACACTGTAATTTCATTTTGTTATAAATATGCAAAAAAAATACAGAATTTATTAAAATATAACAGCATTCGTTTTTTTACTTAAAGAAAATGACACCGCTTTCAGACCATGGTCCAAAAATTTTTGTGGACTATAGTCCACAATATAACAACCGCAATAATACCAATCGTTATGCTATGGACCCGTGTCCAGCATGTCCAGCATGCATGCTAGACACGGGTAACAGTGCTGTTAGGTACTGTTATCTCTTTTTTTTCTTTTTTCTTTTTTTTTTTATTCAGACCCTTTATTATAGGAGTATATGTTCATAATTGTAAGTTCATAATGTCAGAGCTCTATGTTCATAATTCCATAACTGTACATTCATACTTCCATAACTGTACATTCATAATTCCGTAACTGTACATTCATAATTCAATAACTGTAACTTCATAATTTTCGAAGCTCTATGTTCACAATTTTAAAGCTCTATGTTCAAAATTTTATCACTATATGTTCATAATGTCAAACCTCTATGTTCATAATTTCATAACTGTACATTCATAATTGTATAACTGTACATTCATAATTGCATAACTGTACATTCATAATTCCGTAACTGTACATTCATAATTCAATAACTGTAAAATCATAATTTTCAAGGTTCGATGTTCACAATTTTAGAGCTCTATGTTCATAATTTTATCACTATATGTTCATAATGTCAGAGCTCTGTGTTCATAATTTTATAACTGTACATTCATAATCTCATAATTGTATATTCATGATCCCATAACTGTACATTCATAATGGCACAAACGAATAACGCCGTTAACGGTGTTAACGGGGAGACGAAAATTAAAAAAAAAATTAACTGAAATGACGTGTTTTCACTGAAAACGACGTCGTTTTGAACTCGTGTCCATAATGCATTGTAGACACGAGTCCACTGCATAATTTGCGCAACAATACATAGCGGACCTTAATACATGGTATAATTATAATTAGGGCCCATTTTGATAGATTTGTTGAGATTAGCCCACTGGAAAGTTCAGCAAAATCCATACTATTGGGCTAGCTTATCTTTTCTTTTTTTTTTCCTAACTATCAAAATAAACCATATATATTAATCAACGGAAACAAAACTAGATTCCAATTGTTAAACTCTGTTTTTACAACCAAGTGGTTTGTAATCCATTGATATTGGGTTGCTCCCCTAGGTAGGAGGTGATGGGTTTGAACCTCACTTTGAAGCAAGTAGTGTGCATATTTAGGGTATCCCCAATCTTATAAAAAAATAAAATAAAAAAACTCTGTTTTTACAAATTAGAGAACTATACGTTCATAATTTGATAATTATACAGTTTAAAAATTATGAATTTACAGTACAGAAATTATGAATCTACAATACAAAAATTATGAATCTACTGTATTTAAATTATTAATCTACAGTTTAAAAATTATGATTCTAAAGTATAAACTTTATGAATCTACAATATAAAAATAATGGATCTACAGTATAGAAATTATGAATATAGAATCGTGCCCAAATCATAACGTTTCCACTTTTTTTTCGTACATTAATTAATTTTGAAGTCAAACTAACTATTATCTGGCCCTATTCTTCCCCATTTGTAAGGCTCAAAGCGGTTACTCCGATCCATTAGCAATATTCAAATATGAGACTATATAGAAAATCAAATTCTTTCTATTTAGACAGCCACATGTTATAGGTCATTCTATTATAGACTAATGATTCCCCAATATCATATTTCCATATAAATCAAAGGAAAATACTTAGTGTACTCCCAACTTGTACTCCCTCTCACATGTTCTTGATGTAGACATTTTTCTGTAAACCACGTGATGAAAATAATCAATTTACCACCTCAGGGAGTACGTAGAATTTTGAGAGTCTATTAGTATAACTCTAAACCAAATTTTAATAGGAGTGAATGCGGTTTTGAAAATTATGATCGGACTCGATACGAGGTTTTCAGTATCTTGGTCTCAAGCTATCAGAATTCTTGTCGTACTGTCATTGTTGTTTATGTACAGGGACAGAAAGGCTGTGTCTACCAAACATCAGTTACATCAAAGATCTTAACAGTAAATACAAGATCCAATCGTACACCTGGCTACCATCCCCAGTCCCCACACAGGGCAGAGGGTGGAGGCAAGAGGGTAAAACCGTAAATGCACCTCACCCCCACCCCCACCCCCACGTGGTGATAACTGACCAGTGTGGATTGTGATAATAACATTGAAGAAAAAAAAAATAAAGTGTCTGGTAAAGAATAATGAGATGAGGCAGAAATGTAATCTTTGTTGATAACAGAACAAGAAGTGAACATATTACCCAATTGTTGTCAGCATGCAGAAATTGTCCTGTTTAGGGAAGAGACCCCTCCCTGGATTCTCTCATCCAATCAACCACAGACAACCCTGCTCATGTCAATAAACCAAACATTATTATTATATGCAAATTGACTTTTTTTGCTTTTTGTTTATTCCTCTCCTCAAAAAACAAACATTCTCAAGCATCACTTTCCACCATGTGACTCCCATTATCTGATACTTTAACATTAAAGTCAGCAGTATCTTGATTTCAAATATGTGGCAAATCAAAGTCAATAAAGCCTGCCCTTGTCCTTTCTGTGCCATCCACCCACCTGCCTTTGAACTGGAGGTCCACAAAATCTTTAATATACTTTTCCATAATAAATACTTGTAAATATAAAGGTCATAAAAAGCTTTTCTGGTTCTGCAGATCCAAAGTTGGGTAACTTTTTTTAAGATAAATGATGTGAACAAATATTACTGTCTACAGCCAAAGGAAAAAGTTTTACCAAAGGATGATTAGTTGAAAACCCTCTTCAGGGTTGAGGGTACTGAATACAAACATTCAATGGCAACCCCTAAGTGTACACTTCTGTGACTCACCAACTTGATTATATGTAATATTGCAGAGCATGCACAGACTGACTTGAGCATGAAAGCTTTCAAAAACTAAACTATCAGTTACATGTATAATACATCTAGCCATAGTTTATATCAAGTTTGGCATCCATCGTGGATTCATATGGATCACCTAACCTAATAGCTTCTTCAAAAGATAATAATATTGATGATTTCCTTACTACTAGAACTAGATTGCCATCAAGTTAATATACAACGAGGAATATATACTGTCTGAAAGGTGATGGAAGTCGGGCCTTGGTTTAAAAATTCACTGGCATAATTAATTGCACCTAACTTATCTTGAAGGTTATTTTCTTCTGAACGTCCTTGGTGTTTACTTGTGAGCCAGCATAGGATATAGATTGGAGCAATTTGAATGCATACCAGAGAACATGAAACCAGAGACCTGCAGGCGTGGCATTGGCTTCCAGTCAATCAATGATCATAGAGACAGACAATTTACTCCCTCTGGCACTGTCTTAGGCATTGGAAATGCAATAACGTATCTCTGTGGGGCTGATTTTAGCACAACAGGAGTGGCCCCAGAAGATGTATCAACTGCACCACTATGGCCCCTGTTATGGAATTTGGCAAAACGGTTGATGATAGAGAACTTCTCCAACTCCTGTGATTCAACCTTCAAGTCTGAGAAGGAAGCTCGTTTCTCCAGTCTGCATCATAAACCAAAGTGTGATTTAAAAGTTTATTCAAAAATAAAAGATCACCATAAAGGACAATTTCTTGAATAGGCTGCAAAAGATCATTTATTTCATTCTGCATTATGCAGGAGCCATTCGTAGCTCCTCTAAAAGTGTGAGAAACCCCATAGTAAAGGACTGTGAAGAAATAAATGGTTGAGAAATCAAACTGTCAATTTAATTGAATGTGTTCTCCCAACTATACTTCTTCAGCTATTTGGCTATATTAAGCAGTTATGAAGGTGACAAGACATGGAAATGAATCTTGGAATAACAATGACCCCTACCTGATGAAATCAGCTTCAAGCCCCTTTGCTCTACAGATGAAATTTTCCATGGTTTTTAAGAAATCTGTGCCAGGACTCTCTACCTTGTCGGATGACCTGTAGACATTTGAAAACAAATGATGATTAGAGCAAGGGAATCTCTACTAAAGTCAAGTCTCAAAATTTTACCCATTCTTGACTCAATATGTGTTGGGTTAACGAAATTTAATTGCTCAAGATGAAATGGGGAGAAGTGAAGGCAACCCATTACAGATAAAATCTTACGTATCACCAGCAGTAAATTGCCTGTGAAAATCATGAGCCATGTTGCATGCATCACCTAGGGCCAATCTAGCAACGAAATACACCACACTATCACAATTTGAGAAGGCATCTGCTGAGACAATGACTGCTGGTGCTGGACGAAAAATCTGTTGCATTA